CGGACGCCCTAGTGTATGCACAGTCCTTGTGATGCCAGAAATGCTTACCCCTCTTTCCGGCACAAGGCATACATAAGCGGGGGATAAATTTAGCCCCCAGATTTGCAATAACCATAAGCCGGCTATTTCCTCAAGACACTCTATTCCATATACCTTTTACCCGTGCTTCTCCTACACTACGGACGCCCTAGTGTATGGACAGTCCGCGTGATGTCAGAAATGCTTACCCCTCTTTCCGACTCAAGGCATACAAAAGCGGCGGGTAAATTTCACCCCCAGATTTGCCGATCACGCATCTTCGTGCCTGCCAACGAGTGCGCCCGTGTTGTTCCAATGTACCCTTCCCAGTCGGCGATGTCACATGTACATTCTTTAGCGCAAAGTATGTACGTAGCAACCTTTCTCCCAAAACATGTAATCACTACATGCTTTGCCGACTATGTAACTACTGTTGTACATCCGGTGCGACTCGGCTAGCTTTCGACCTCCTCCCCCTGGCCTCAAGTATGGCTTAGTACAGCACTGATCAGACATGACTCCAACTTACAAGCAAGACGCCTTGAGGACTTGACTTGTTCCTCTACCTTTTTCGTTCTTTCACTGCATTCACCAAAATGGCGGTCAAGGACTAAAGTTCTTGGCATCAGATATCTTGGCAGGGTGGCCCTCTCCGTGGTTCTCACATTTCTGTTTGGCCTTGTGTTTCAGGGTGTAGGCCAGGGCCTCAAAAATGCTATGAACGAAAGCCGAATGCAATGATATGTGGTGCTACTGCTGCTGGCAGCCACAGTGGGGCATCGAACTTGAGGTCGAACAATTCTAGAGACCAAGGACCAGGTGGCTTGAAATGTTCCTCGGTGTCGTGGCTTTGATTGTTGTTGTAGAACGTTTGTGCTTGGCTGGCTCTTTGTGCCAGAACATCTTCGATCAGATGTGGACTGGTCTCTCGTATGCTGAAGTTACGGCGTTGCGAAAGCGCAAGCTTGAGTGGCAAGACACTGAGCATCTTTTTTGAGCCATCACGAACAGCATGATACAGACTACTACGAAGCACTGCTGTGATATATTGTGATTGGTCGATCAAAAAACATATATTGGAAGCGCATCTTGCAAATTGCTCGCGCTGCACAGGCATTTCAATGCATTGGTGCAAGTAGCACTAGTGGCGATGTTCAGGCCCAAATGGTTTTCTGCGATATGTGCGCTGCAGCAGCAATTCATGGCATAGCTTTTCCTGTGCTTGTGCACCCCGCGCAGTGCGTGCCAACCAGTCATCCTCACGTTCCCTCTGGAGAGACCAGTGCGCTCAGCTGGAATGAGCCCTATTTTGGTTCGGTTCCAAATGGCACAGTATTGTGCTGTGAGGTATTCCTTCGTGAATACAGCAGCGGTACCTACAGACTCTTGATTGCAATGGACTTGCATGTTTGGCTAGAAAGGATTGAGAATTGAACATTTCAGAGTCATATGATGTTATCAACAGGTGTTTTGCCATATTACTTGTCCAAGATGGTGGTTGAGGCAACGTCCCAGATGTACTCTTCTTTGGGCGCACAGCAATCGACTGTCCCTTAGTGCAGGTTCCATTGGTCTTCGTCCAATCGCTGATGACGCTCAGCGCCCAGCCTTGCTGTCCTCAAAGGCAACATGACAACTCTGACAACTTGCACAAACTCTGTTTGTTACCATTGTTCTCTTTTGTGTTTTCCTTTAGACCTGTCGTCATGTTTTAGACCTTTTCAAGTTTCCTTTCTTGTCCTTTTTCCTGTTTCTCCGAGGTTGGGATTGTGCTATGTTGTAATGCTCCGCCCTCGCTTCAAATCTCCCAAACTTCTTTGTTGTTTCTCCTAATCATAATCCAGGTCACTCAATGGCAACTTTTGGTGCGCCACCAGGGGGCAGGGCCGAACCAAAGACTGGCAGAAGGGGGCAGGGCTGGGTGAATGAACAGCCTTGTGACGGCACACGTCCAGGGCGCTCCTGTGGACCATCGTGCTGCTTTCCGCCACTCAGCTGCTTTCAGAGCTTTCTGACTCTCCGTGCTATCAGTTGGATGCGAAACCGAGGTGTGTTCCGTTTCCGTCGCTCTTGCTATCAGCTGTGCGGTGGCTCTGCCTTTGAAAAAGATTGCCTTGCTACACATTCATTCGATCTCGTGATGAAGAGTGACATGTCTCTTGCCAGGTGCGACAACCCAGAGAAACCGGAGCAGTGGGGCAGCATTCCCAGGAAGTTCCCAATTGGTCCCCCGCAGGATGCAATGAGACCAACTCAGGCCCTTGGTGTTCGTCCCACAGATGCTCTTTTCTGGACCGAATTCTTGTTTGGTCTCGGAAACCATGAGAAATCCAGCAGCACAACATCATAGCTTGCTTGACGGTCTTTAGAGCAAGGAGTGTTCATCCCAGTGAGCCACATGCCAGGCCAGGTTTCCTTTTCTCAATGTGCATCATGTTGGAAGACTTGTTTGCCAAGTTTACTTGCGCTGGATGCAATACTTCAGCTTTCTTCAGCCCAAGCCCCAGCGTCAAGCTTCCGTAGGCTGCCGTAGGGCTAGAAGTGAGGCAACCAAAATGCACCGAGGTATGCTATCAAAATCTTGGGCGTGGTGGAATTTAAGCACGTTCCCCATAAGGAACTTGTGCTAGACGCGCAGGACTGCTTCAGATCCTCCCTGCCAGAATGAGTTGAGTTGTTTTGAAGATTGGTGTTCCTTTGGGCATACTGTGGAAACTTAATAGAACTTAAACATACAATATCATACAATTGTCTTGGCACTATCACTAGTAGAAAATCCGATGTTGCACAAGATGAGAAGAGACGTGCATGCTGTTGCAGATGGTCAACAACGGTGTTTATCGATCCCCTTGTTTGGATATCGAAACTTGTGGTGCTGATAGGTGCCAGGTGCCACAAGTACGATCACTTTGCAGTAATTAGAAGATATTTGAGCCGCGATCAAAACGTACGACTTACTTTGGTGAGGTAGTCGCTTCGGAACGCAGAAAAACGATCGCTTCGGAACGCGGCAATGTGATCGCTTCGGAACGTGTTCGCCGCTAGTAGGTTGGAAGCCATCGCTACTACTATGTAGGCCATCGCTAGTAGATTGGAGGCCACCGTAACCACTAGCAAATGAATGAAGGATGCAGAGCATCTGTTACATGGTACTGTGGAAGCAATTAGCAAAAAGATATCATCATGTAGATGAATGTCCAGACAGACGTTATTAACACCCCCCCACCCCCCACCCACCCCATCCCCCCCCCCCCCACCGTCCCAACCCAACAACATCAATCAAACGCAGAGCATCTGTGTTACATGGTACTGTGGAAGCAATTAGCAAAAAGAGATCATCATGTAGATGAATGTCCAGGCAGACGTTATTAACACCCCCCCCCCCCCCCCCTCCCCCCCCCCCCACCCCATCCTTCATCTTTAAACCCTCCCCATCCGTGTTTGTGTGTGTAAAGTGAACCCAAAAACTAGGTGTGTTGTGTTCCAAAGTGATCTCGTTTTTTATTAACGCTTCCATGGCTTTGGGTTGTTTTGTGTTCCAAAGTGACACATCTTTTGTGTTCCAAAGTGAACTAAAACCCTGTGTTCCAAAGTGAACTAAAACTTGTGTTCCAAAGTGACTCTCCCACCACTTACTTTGATAGAGAGGGTTAGTTTTGCACTCAAAACCCTGTAAAACCATAAGGTTCACCGAAAAGAACGACAACCCCCTAGCGCTGTATATTATATATATAATGGTATATATAATCATCATAAGTATGTGACGAACCGTCAAGAAACGGTCCACCTCAAAATTGATATTGCCCGTGTTTACTTTAGGAAGAATAAACTCTGATTTTTCCTTGTTTGGTATGATTTGGTTTGCCACTGTCTCCTTCGATGAACGTTATGGATTTGTCCAACCATTGTTCCAGGATATTCTTGAAGATAGTGTGCCAGTCTATGTAGGCAGGGAGAGCAACAGCAATACGTCAAACGAGCGAGTCCTTCTTCTATAGACATCAAGAGTTGAAGCTCCTAGTAGCGATGCCCTTTGTTACTAGTAGCTTCTTGCTCCTACTATATAGTAAGGCCAAGAGCTACTAGTAGCGATGCCAGGAGCTACTTGTAGCTTTTGTCAGGTTTCCTTGTGATGATGGTCATCGCCTCATTAGAACCCAATTATTCCCAGACTTTTGCAGAGCATGCTCCTGAGGTACTAATATTTTCTATCACCGGCATCCAAATGTTGCGAAATAAAGCAACACATTTGTTCTAGATCCACGAGAGGTAATGCACCTCTGGCATGAAAAGAGCTGAGCCAGTCCAGTAGCTATTTCAGAATGTTGACAGCAGTTTCTGTTTCACATTGGACTTGTCTTTTTTCAATGCTGGCCGGGTATCCTCCTCTTTTTATGCACAGAAGCTCAAACCATTTAAAAATACCGCCATTCTATGGACAATCTGTACAAAGGAACAGGGTTAATGTGTGCAAGCTCTACAGGAACTTGCATCTTATAGTTGTATGAGTTGAATGATACGCTGGAAGCAAAAAGCACGCGATAAGAGTTGACAGTCCGCTGCGTCTTATCGTTTGTTATCCATTGACAGGATGATTGATGAGCATGATTACGGATATCATTGCAGTTTACCTTTGTCCCCAGCTGTCCATGCCTTGACTGGTACAATACACAACCCAGAGTTAGTACGCCCAACACCTGTGAGTGCATTTGAAGTGTTGGACTGAGCTGAAAGAGCTGTTTGGAACTTGAACTTGGGTTTTTAACCCGTATGCCTCATCCAGCAATCATGCATGGCCTAGAGCTTGGTGATGGCACAGGTGGCCAACATCAGGAGCGTTGCGCCGCAATAGCTTCTCAAATATGAGAGCTCACATATTGTAATTGTAATGAATGTTGGTTACATTCTTACACGTTCGCAAAGGAGGCCATCTCCAGGTCGAACTGCCTCAGTCTCACAGAGCCTGGCAGCGGCAACTGCATCCTGGCAAAATTTGATGCAGCTGCAGCGGCAACTGCATCCTACTAGCGTCCTTGTTCCTAGTAGTAAGGCCAGGAGCCCCTAGTAGCGTCCTTGCTCCTAGTAGCGCGCTCAAATGAATCCTGCTGCGCTTTCAGGCACAAATCAGCCGGCTTGGTCGCGAGCGTCGCTGGCAAGATGCTTTGGCTTGCCTCAAGGATAAATTGGCATAGTGTATATTGCAATGTTTTTTCAACCGAACCGTTTACTGCGGCGGATTCTTCAATTCAAGCTTCTCACGGCGGGAGAAGCTTCCGTGAAGAATCCCAACCTTCAAAGTCCTGGCTTTGGTTTACAGTAATTGGTTCGGCGCCCCAGTCTACACGTGCCTCCTGGTGGCGAAGAAGATCACGTTTTTTGTGTTCGTTGGCGTGTCAAAGTCACAGCAGTAAACTCATTCCAGGACTTGGAGGGGTCAGAAGCAGAGCCCGACACCATTCTCCGCAATGCTGTAGCTGGACCGAACTATGCAGCGACGCGCACATGATGTTTGTCATTTTGCACGACACAGGATGTGGTGGTGTTTGATTGTGTTGTAGTTTATTTGCACGAGCAGCACTAGGTCATTTCCGCTTGCGACAAGGCCTTCCGCCCAGTGAACTTCTTTACATTGAAGAGCAAGGATTGAAATCAAGATGATTCTGCTTAAAGAAACAAAGGAAGCTCGTGGTGGGACGCTTGCACGCATAGACCCCTTGGGCCCCTTGGTTTTGCCCAGGCATCCAAATGGATTCAAGCACTTCAGCTCATGGAGGATGTGTCGCACTTAGAAACGACCCAAGCGGAGAATGGAGTCACAAGAGAAGCATTCTTGTACGCAAGCCTGTACGCACCAGGACGCTAGGAGCAAGGACGCTACTAGGGGCTCCTGGCTTTACTACTAGGAACAAGAAGCTACTGGGGGCTCCTGGCAACCCTACTAGGAGCAAGGACGCTATTAGTAACAAATGCATCGCTTCTAGTAACAAGTGCCTTACTAGTAGTAACAAGAACGCTACTAGGGGCTCCTGGCATCCCTACTAGGAGCAAGGACGCTATTAGTAACAAGTGCATCGCTTCTAGTAACAAG